CTCTCCGGCGGGTCCCAAAACGATACGCCGGTGCCGCATCTGGCCAGGACCATCCCTGGCCGAGGATTTCGCACGGGCCACTGGCACTGGAGGAGAACGAGGAGGAGGAATAGAAACAGGAGGAGGGGAGGATGAGGAGGAGGAGGAGGAGGAGGAGGAGGAGGAGGAGGAGGAGGAGGAGACGGAGACGGGAGGAGACGGAGGAGGAGGAGGAGGAGGAGGAGGAGGAGGAGGAAGGAGGAGGAGGAGGAGGAGGAGGAGGAGGAGGAGTGGGAGCAGGAGAAGAAGGAGGAGGAGGACGAAGAGGACGAGCAGCAGGAGCAGCAGGAACAGCAAAAGGAGGAGAACTAGGAGGAGAAGGCCAGATGCGGGAACTCTATATTATCCCGCACTGCCCCGCGCGCGAGCCCAGCGGCGCGCCCTGCGGGCTGGCCCCGTGGCGGCCAGCCGCGCCAGCTGCAGAGCCGTGGCGACAGGGCGCCAGCCCTGGGCGGATGCGGGGGGCTGCCCACCTGCGGGACGGCCCGCCAGCGGGCGCGCAGCCACCTCGCTGCGGGCACGCCCGCTGGCCGCCGAGCTCGGCGCCACCGCCGCAGGCCGCGCCGCGCGGCGCTGGCCGCCGAGCTCGCCGCAGAGGCGGCGGCGTCGCCGTTCCGTCGCGGCCTGGACGTGCTGCCGATGCTGGAGAAGGCCATGGCCACCCTCGAGGACCAGCAGCAGAAGCCGCGGATCGGGGATGGACAGACCCCCCTTTCGTAAAACGCGGTTGGGTGAAAACGACCTGAGGCCCAAACCTGGCGGGCGCAAATGAAGGCCACGGCGCCCTCTCGAGAACCGAAAACGGACAATTCACTAATCGACGTGTCACTGTGGGGGGTTCTGTCCACCCCCGAGCTGAGGGAGGAGGTGCTCCCGGACACCGGCGCCGTGGCGGTCCGCGCAGAGCACGACCTGCGCAGCCGGAGGCAAGATCGCAGGGTGGGTCTTTCCAACAGCCCGGGGCCTGGAGGAACGCACGCGCGTCGCCAAAAGGGGCCCGCGACGCCAGCGGCCCCTCGATGGCTTGGAGCGCCAGCTCCTGTGGCCGACGGCGCAGACAGGAAGCGCAAAGGTCGACCTGCAACTCGTGGGGTGGGCGGTCTGCGTCGACCAGCTCGTCCAGGATCACACGTAATACGACGACGACGACGACGACGACGACGACGACGACGACGAGGACGACGACGACGACGACGACGACGACGACGACGACGACGACGACGACGACGACGACTACGACGACGACGACGACGACGACAGGCGCCCGCCCAGGGTGGCCCGGCCTCGCGGCTGAGCGCGAGAGGCGGCCTTCCTGGCCGCCCAGCAGCCGGCGGCACCTCGAAAGGCCCGTGCTGCGACATCAACAGGAGGGCCACCGGGACTGCAACGCTGGACACTTGACTGCAACCATATGGCAGCCGAGACTCGACGGCGGCACCAGCGCTGCGCTGCGATGCGCATGGGGAGGTTGCGGTCGAGCAGGGCCTCGACGCGCCAGGCTCGCGGGCTGCTGTCTCGTTGGCGCCCCGTCGGCCCGACGGCGGCGCTGCTCCTGGCGCGTGGGGGCCGCGGCCGCGAGGACGAGGAGCACGAAGGGGGCGGCGCGCACGACGAGGACTCGAGGGACCAGAGGGGGCCAGGACCACGAAGCACCCGGGGAGCGCGGCAGGGACGCCACGGCCGAGCTCGGCGCCGAGGCCGCCCACGTTGCTGGCGCCCGTGCCTCCCCGGGCCGCTTCGAGTGCAACGTCGGGGTGCCTGCCTCTGTCGTGACCGCCGCGCCCGCGGAGGAAGGCATCCTGCGGTACCCTCTGCCATCACGAGCGTGCCCCGCACACGAGGACGCATCGCACGGCCAGCAAGAGCAAACAGGAGAAGCGCAGGCGCCAGATCGAAGCCAGCAGGCCAACCACCGCCGTCGAACTGGCACCTGGCGAGCCCGCGGCAAACGCAGGGGAGGTTTCCGGCGCAGCCCCGCACGCCAGCGGGTGCGGCCAGAATGACTGCGGTCTACCAGTCCAGGCCCGCTGCACGGCGGCAGCGTGGCGGGCAACGAAGACGGGCCGTCTGCCTCCCAGGACACCTCGCATGGGGCGCACGACGACGAGGACTATGGCAGGTTCGTCTCGCGTCGTTGTTTCTGACACCGCGGGGATCGTTAGACCTTGAACGCCCGTCGGTTGTTCGATCGCCAGATCGTTCAGTGCTGGCCGACAATAAGGCAATGGCGGTGTTCAGGCTTGATGCTATTTGAAATAAAAGCTTACCCAGCATGTTCATCAAATGCTACCAAATACCAAGCGTGCCTCTCGCGCGCGCATGTCGAAATCATTCGGACGCCCTCGCGCGCGCGCGCGCCCTCGCAAGAATCCCTTGCAGAAATAGAGGGCGAAAGGCACGCACGCGTCGTCGCGCGCGCATGCCGAACTCCTCAAATAACCGTTGGTTTCGTAAGGCTTTCAAAATCGGACGCCCCGAAACATGTAAAGCATATGGTTTTGCAACATCAGTTGTCGAAAAAAATGCGCGCTCGTGCTAATTCTTAGGGTTACAATACTTGCATAAAAGTATACCAAGCGGGCCACTCGCGCTGCGCGTCGGAATAGTTCGAGCGCCCTTGTGCGCGCGGGGGCGGGGGGGGGGGGCGCGCGGGCCACTCGCGCGCGTCGGCCGCGCGCGCGCGTCGAACTCCTTCAGAATCGCCATCGCCGACGCGAGGACATCGTCGTCGTGATCGGCAGGCGTGCTCAGCATCGGCGCCGCCAGAGGCCTCGCCGTGGTCATCGCCTCCATTGCCACCGTCATCGTTACTGGCACCATCGCGTCTACCGTTGTCGGCATCGCCATGATACCGCGCCAGCCCGAGTCACCGACTCGCACTGAAGTGCCAACCAGGAAGTGTCCGGCGGTCAGCGCCGCCGCCGCCGCCGCGTCGGTCGCACCAAGCTAACCGCCCGCCGCGCGCGCGAGCCTGCGCGCGCCAGCGAAAACGCAGAGATGCACCAGCCAGCGCCAAGCACTCATCGCAATCGCCGCCGCATGGGCTTTGCATGCCACGTTGCGGGAGGGCGGTGGGATGGGCTTTGCATGCCGCGTTGCGGGTTGCAGGGTGGTTGCGCGAGCAGGAGGTGACACCTGCGACTTCCACAAGTAAAGTGCGCGACATAGATCGCACTGCGCAAATTGCGCCACATAAATTGCATAGCGTTCTTTCTCCGCGCAGATCGCATCTGCACAGCAAAAGTTCGCCGCCCACATAATTATTAAGATCCCCCCCCTGGACATAACTGGCGGTGCTTTCGCGTTGCAATCAGCATGCGGTTCTGCCCCATCGCCCGTCCAATGTTTCAACTCACGCCATCCCGGACAGACGCTCATCGACCCCACCCTCATCCCCCGAAGAAAATACGATGCGCGCGCGCTCGTTTATAACAAATCAGCCGTTGCCAAGCATCCCCTGCAACATGTGAAACGAAGTGCACCCGCGCGCGTCGTCGCGCGCGCATGCCGACATCAATCAATAATCATAGGTTTCGTGACGATGCTAAAGTCGAGTGCCCCGAAACATATAAAACACATGGCTTTGCAACATTTTTCGCCGAACGAAAAACGCGCTCGCGCTCTTGCGAATACTTCAGGAAACCACGCAAAAAATTCATCAACAAAAAACCAAACGTGGGCGGAGAGACCCCCCCCAAAAAAACGGACTCCCGGGATTTGGGGCGTTGGGACCCTCGGGACGGGCCTCTCAGCGGCCCCCGTGCCTTGCAGGGCGTTTTGCCAAGCCTTCCCAGCACACCTAGGGCGATCAGGGGGGTCATCGGAGACGTCCCAGAGACCCCCAAGACAGCACAAGAGTGCTCAAAGAGTGACAGACGTGACCTCAAGATGGCCCAAGAGGCCTCCAGGACGGCCCCAAAGAGGCCTCCAAGAGCACTCCCAAGAAGGCCCCAAGAGGCAAAAATCATAGATTTTCTGTCGGTTGTTGGTGAAGTTTGGGGTTCTCCTCATTTCGGCTTCCCGACGCTCCAAGACGGCGGTCTTCTGGGCGTCCGAAGCCGCCTGGGGAGCTCCAACATCGCCCCACAACCATCCGAAAGGGCTTCCAGGTAGTCCAAGAGAGCCCCAAAACGGCACATCACGGGTCCAAGATGGCCCTCAGAGACCCCCATGGCGGCCCAAGGTGGCCCCAAGACGCCCTCCGAAGCATTCAAAATCTTGACCCGGTCGTTCAAGGAGACCGCGGTTGGAGGCAGGGTGGCCCGAGGAAGCCCCAAGAGGCCCCCATAATACGCCTAGGAGGCATCCAGAAGGCCCTAAGAAAGCCTGAAACAATTTTTGTGAGGCCCCCAGAAGCTTTCCAAGGAGGAGCCTCAGCAAAAAAGAGCTGCGGAGGATGGGGAGAATGCGCAGGATATGGCGAAAAAGAGGAACAAGAAACGTGGAGGAAGGATAACGAATAACATTATTATAGCGATGATGTCGGAAAAGGCAACAAGGGCATCGCTAAATTGTCGGCTTGACCTTCCTACTATTCCGCCTGCGTACCAAACTTCAACGACATACATATATGTATATGTATATGTATATGTATATGCATATGTATATGTATATGTATATATATATATATAAAAAGCATAGTTTGTACCGCGTCGTTTGTACATGGTTTGCACTAAATAGTTTGCATATGTTATCTTATTATGACGCAAACTTGGATCTACCACCCACCCACCAACCCAGGATAACTGATCGAGCCACCCTGGGGATGCGCCGTCGACATATGATTTTGCCCCCTCGTTCATTTTCAAGTCTGAATTCCTATCATCCCAACGAACACGCCCCCCTCCCCCCCCCCCATCATCCTCGCACAAAAGTACGATGCGCGCGCACTCGTCTATCACAAACCACCCGCGTGCAATATTCCCTTGCAGTTGACATGGGCGAAGCGCGCGCGCTCGCGT